GGAGTGGCCCAGTCAGAGTCCTGACCTCAACCCGATTGAAATGCTGTGGCATGACCTTAAGAGAGCGATTCACATCAGACATCCCAAGAATATTGCTACACTGAAACAGTTTTGTGAAGAGGAGTGGTCCAAAATTACTCCAGATCAATGTGCAGGTCTGATCTGCAACTACAGGAAACGCTTGGTTGAGGTTATTGCTGCCAAAGGAGGGTCAACCAGTTATTAAGTCCAAAGGTTCACATACTTTTTCCTTCCTGCACTGTGAATGTTTCATGTTATGTGCAATTAAACCATGGCAACATCTAATGTTTGTGTAGTATTATGTTCAGCAGACTGTGTTCTTCTATTGTTGTGACTTAGATGACGTTCAGAGCACATTTTATGCCCAATTCATGCAAAACTCCATGTAATCCCAAGGGGTTCACATACTTTTTCTTGCAACTGTGATCAGTTTATTCTTTTCATCAGATGAAATGTGTTTTTAATGTATGTTCAATAAAAATTGTTGCAATTTTTTTTAATATATAATCACGTTTGTAGAGTTCATTCTTTTCCATATACCGGCGGGTCACCCTTGAACACCATTCTTTTGTGTGTTTTTTTTCAATTTGCACTCTTGGGGTGGTGAACCCTGGATATAAGTATATATGTCATGTCTCACTGTTGTTTGTACAGCCTCACCTCCTTTCTCTCCAATATTAATTTTCACTGTCTGGTTTTAATGAACTTCTTCTTTAAGGTAGGCTCAGTAAGGCAGCAAATACATTAGTCATTGTTTTTTTCATTCAACCAGCAGGTTTACAAAAAAAGAAGAAAAAAAGCCGATTCCCCCATTCCACATAATCAAGGTGGATGGGGGAATCACTCCCGCTGAGGTATTGTGTTCTGGCAGCAGGGAGACTTCCCTGTCTTTAGAATACACTGATCACTGCTGCTGGCCATAGCTGGCAGCGTTGATCAAGTGGAAATTTTTCTAGGGACTGGTTGTACAGAAGTCGATCGGTAAATCGACCCATGTACAACCAGGCTGCCCATATATGGATCAAAATTCAGCCAGTGTCTAAGACAAAAATATCCCTTTTGTGTCCATAAAAACATATGTAATAGAAATGTTTAACTTAATCCTTTGTCTTGAGGTTTATTTGTTTCTGTGAGACTATCGATTGTGGCACAGTATTTAGTATTTTGTGGGTACAAGGAGAGTGGTATAGGTATGCCTTGTATATAGCAGGTGTAGATTCTGTTCATTGCCCCTTTAAAACCCCCTACTGGCCAGATGCAGAACTTTTCTGTTCTGTCCCTGGGTGCTCCATGTCTTCATAATCCTAGTCTTCTTCACATTTTGTCATGTTGTCTTCACATTTTACTTGTAAATCAGTCAGATTACTTGTTAATAGTATTGTTAATATTGTCAATGTTTACATATTGTTTATACTGATTAACCACTACCCGACTGCCCTATAGCAGAAATACTGCTACATGGCAGGATGGGTGCGCAAAATCAAGTATATATAGACGTGATTTGCACTCCCACCGGTTCTCGAGGGCCCAGTGGCATGCGCGTACCCCCCCCGACCCACGGGTGCCGTGATTTGATATCCTGATTATTATCGATCCCTGTCCTGTCAGAGATCTTCCTGTACCTGTGTTTACAGTTACACAGGTACAGGAAATTATGACATCTCTCTCTGGGCACATTCTGTCCCAGAGAGAGAAGAATCAACACATACTGAATAAAAGCAGCAGACTTTTACAGTTTAGAACACTTTAGGACACATTTAACTTCTTGATCGCCCCCCAACCCCTTCACTGCCCTGACACCAGTGTCATTAGTACAGTGTACAGATTTTTTTCTGAAAAACTGTATCAGTGTCGCCGGTGACTTCAGATAGCGTTAGCGTCAGTTAGCGCCCCTCCCAGATAGCGTCAGATTGCCCGTCAGTATACCAGTAATCACATTTAACTCCTTGATTGCCAGGAACACGCTCACATACACAATAAACCTCCATTGCTAGTATAGTGTCTGAATGGATCAATATCTTTGATCAGATCAGCACTATACCAGCATTCACATTAGTATAGTGTCCCCAAAAATACAGCGTTAGCGGGATCAGCCCCCGGCACCTGCCAGCACCTGCGTTTAGCCTCTACACTTACCCCCCCCTCCCCCAGCAAGTGCATTGTCAGTAGGTCACTGCCACTTGATACATTGCACACAAAACTGCAGTGCTCGCAGAATTAGGCCTGATCTCTGTTAGCACTTGCCGGTAAATTTTTTTTGTAGCGGTTCAAGCTGTCCCTGACAGCCAGGTGCTCTTTTTCCTGTGAGTCGCACTAGGTACCTATAAATTTAGTGGCCAAAATGTCAATGGAAAGGTACTCTAGTGAAGAGGCCTACAGGATTCTGAGCATGTCAGGTGAGAGGGGAAGACTCACTGACACAATCAGCCTCAGAATACAAACCTGTAGACAGCAGCAGCACCCTGACAGATAGCTCAGACGATGGAGAAGAGGTCCCTGTAAGATCAGGCGTACCGACCCTGTTCCAAGGTTGCTGAGATGTTACAATTGCATAATGACTCTCATATGCAGCAGAGTGCCAGTACTAGTGCCGCTCTACCTTTTGGTGAACTGGCGAGCACTAGCGGCCTAGTACATCTTGGTCTTTCACATACCAGCACTGCAGAATCACTTGATGATGTGGCGAGTCTCATAAGTGCAGTACTAACTGGTGCGGTGGCTAGCACATATAGTGTCCCACAGTCATCAAGAATTCGCACACAGGCCTGTAGAGCCCCTAGTATCCTTCTGGATGTGCTTGCAAATCCCGATTGGCAGCCCACAAATTCTAATATAACTGTAAATACGGTATCTCCTAATGCTAAGCTTATTAGAGATGAGCGAAGTATTCAAAAATTCGATTCGGCTGATTCGGCGAATTCGAGGAATAAATTTGATTCGAGGCGAATATATTCGCTGCGAAATTAACTTATAAAAAGGGTGTTTCTAGGCTTCAGAGAGCATTTATATTAGTGCAGAACACTGTACCCTTAATTTAAATGCCCTTGGAGTCTGCTGGGGAAGAGAAATAATACTGTCAGTCAGTATGACATGCAGATGAGTGCCGTCGATCTTAGAATCACCGCACACTTCACTCATTTGGGCAGTCACGGGGCCAAAACCAGAGTGTGGAGCCACAGTGTGGCGGTGGAGGCAGCAGCAATGGGAGGCCATACAGCACCCTATGACAAAATGGAACCCACCAGCAGTGTGAGGAGACCTGAAAGTGGCACATGGCAGAGTGTGGCGATGGAGACAGCAGCAATGGGAGGCCGTACAGGGACCCATGACAGATTACGGGCCTGGCAGCAGCATGAGGAGGCGGTACAGGGGCCCATGACAGATTACGGGCCTGGCAGCAGCAATGGGGAGGCCCGTAATCTGCCAGCACCCTATGACAAAATGGAACCCACCAGCAGTGTGAGAGACCTGAAAGTGGCACATGGCAGAGTGGCACATGGCAGCAATGGTGTGGCGTATGGACAGATTACGGGCCTGGCAGCAGCAATGGGAGGCCGTACAGGGACCCATGACAGATTACGGGCCTGGCAGCAGCATGAGGAGGCGGTACGGGGGCCCATGGCAGATTACGGGCCTGGCAGCAGCAATGGGTGGCCCGTAATCTGCCAGCACCCTATGACAAAATGGAACCCACCAGCAGTGTGAGGAGACCTGAAAGTGGCACATGGCAGAGTGTGGCGATGGAGACAGCAGCAATGGGAGGCCGTACAGGGACCCATGAGAGACTCTGGACCTGGCAGCAGCATGAGGAGGCGGTACAGGGGCCCATGACAGATTACGGACCTGGCAGCAGCAATGGGAGGCCCGTAATCTGCCAGCACCCTATGACAAAATGGAACCCACCAGCAGTGTGAGGAGACCTGAAAGTGGCACATGGCACATGCAGAGTGTGGCGATGGAGACAGCAGCAATGGGAGGCCATACAGGGATCCATGAGAGACTCTGGACCTGGCAGCAGCATGAGGAGGCGGTACGGGGGCCCATGGCAGATTACGGGCCTGGCAGCAGCAATGGGAGGCCCGTAATCTGCCAGCACCCTATGACAAAATGGAACCCACCAGCAGTGTGAGGAGACCTGAAAGTGGCACATGGCAGAGTGTGGCGATGGAGAAAGTACATCGCAATGGGAGGCCGTACAGGGACCCATGACAGATTACAGGCCTGGCAGCAGCATGAGGAGGCGGTACAGGGGCCCATGACAGATTACGGGCCTGGCAGCAGCAATGGGAGGCCCGTAATCTGCCAGCACCCTATGACAAAATGGAACCCACCAGCAGTGTGAGGAGACCTGAAAGTGGCACATGGCAGAGTGTGGCGATGGAGACAGCAGCAATGGGAGGCCGTACAGGGACCCATGACAGATTACGGGCCTGGCAGCAGCATGAGGAGGCGGTACAGGGGCCCATGACAGATTACGGGCCTGGCAGCAGCAATGGGAGGCCCGTAATCTGCCAGCACCCTATGACAAAATGGAACCCACCAGCAGTGTGAGGAGACCTGAAAGTGGCACATGGCAGAGTGTGGCGATGGAGACAGCAGCAATGGGAGGCCGTACAGGGACCCATGACAGATTACGGGCCTGGCAGCAGCATGAGGAGGCGGTACGGGGGCCCATGGCAGATTACGGGCCTGGCAGCAGCAATGGGAGGCCCGTAATCTGCCAGCACCCTATGACAAAATGGAACCCACCAGCAGTGTGAGGAGACCTGAAAGTGGCACATGGCAGAGTGTGGCGATGGAGACAGCAGCAATGGGAGGCCGTACAGGGACCCATGACACACTCTGGACCTGGCAGCAGCAAGAGGAGGCGGTACAGGGGCCCATGGCAGAGTGGCGAAGCGTAAGCAGCTTAAATTGAAGGCCATACAGAGGCCTATGTTAAAAATAATAACATGTTTGGGGCATGATTCATGGCGGATTTAGTCAGTTGTGTCAGGAACTGGTGGTTTGAAATCCAGACTAATCCACGCCTGATTCATTTTCACAAACGTGAGTCTCTCCACACTTTGGGTGGACAGTCGTGTCCTCCGCGGAGTTACAATACCTCCTGCCGCACTAAACACGCGCTCCGATGCCACGCTACTGGCCGGGCATGACAGCCTTTCAAGGGCAAATTCAGCTAGTTGGGGCAAAGGTCAAGTTTCGTTGCCCAGTAGTCAAGGGGATTGTCTACCTCGGTTGGCAGGGTGCTGTCCAAGTAGGCCCAAGCCTGTTGTTTGAGGTCCTGCTCCAGGTCCACCTGATGATGCTGCTGCTGCTGCGGCTGGTTAGTAGTTTCCTCACTGCGCTGGTGAAGAAAGCTACTCATCATCGACTGCAGACTGAGGCAGCCGCTGCTGGTGGAGCTGCCACTGCTCCTACCACCCCACCCCTCCCCTGCTGCCATGGCAGCGGAACGCGAGCGCACAGGGCCACAGTGTCTGAGGATGGACGTTGGCGCAGAAAGGCAGAGACCAACTGACTACATAGGTGGTTTTTATAGTACGTTATTTTGGCCTCCCTCTCAGCAGGTGTGAAAAAGGCCACCATTTTTGAACGGTAGCGAGGGTCCAACAAGGTGGACAGCCAAAAGTCATCCCTCTGTCTGATGGTTATTATTCGGCTGTCGCTACGCAAGCAACCGAGCATGCTATGGGCCATTTGTGCCAAGGAATGCGAGGGACTCCCTGCCTCCATCTCCACAGCATACTGCCACGGTGCGTCTGGGTCCTCTGTCTCCTCCTCCTCCTCTACCAGATGCTCCTGCTCCTCCACTCCTGTCCACTGAGTGGAAAAACCACCCATTTCACTCAATAATTCCTGAGCACCAATGTCCTCCTCTACCTCCTCCTCTTCTTCCTGTCCTGCCCCCACAGGGGTCATGTGGCGTTGAGATCTGTGCGCCACGTCTACCGCACCCTGACCAGCCATTGTTAACATTAGCATTTGTTCCAGGACGTGCAACAGAGGAATGACGTCGTTCATCCCATAGTCCTGCCGACTCACGAATAGCGTGGCCTCCTCAAAGGGCCTGAGCAAGCGGCAGGTGTCACGCATGAGCTGCCAATGGCTGACATCTAAGTTACACAGGGGAGTACCTTTATCCGCTTGTAACATCAGGAAATCGGTGATGGCCTTTCGCTGTTCGTAAAGGCGGTCTAACATATGTAGGGTTGAATTCCACCTTGTTGCAACGTCGCAGATCAGGCGATGCTGTGGAATTCCGTTCTGCCGCTGCAGCTCAAGGAGGGTGTGCTTTGCGGTGTAGGAATGGCTGAAATGCATGCAAAGTTTAAGTGACATTTTAAGGATGTCTTGCAGTGGGATGGTGGATTTTAGGAACCGCTTGACAACCAGATTGAACACGTGAGCCATGCATGGCGCATGGCACAACCTTCCTTGACGCAGAGCAGACACCATGTTCTTTCCGTTGTCGGTCAACATGGTTCCGATTTTCAGTTTGCGCGGAGACAGCCATCTGTCGATTTCTCTGTTCATTACACTCAGAAGTTCCTCCCCTGTGTGACTACGTTCGCCAAGGCATACCAGGTGCAGCACAGCGTGACACCGTTGCGCCCTGCACATGTGATATGCCGGTCGGGTAATGGGACTTGGCACGGGGGTGGCGGCTGAGGACACGGCGGAAGAAGAGGTGGTAGAGGCGGACATCTTTGCTGGACCAAGGACGTGCAAACGTGGAGGCAAAAGCGGCGTGACCTGTCCAAGTTGCTGGTGCGGCTGTGCCGGCACCACGTTCACCCAGTGGGCCGTAAATGACATGTACTGTCCCTGACCGTAGTTACAGCTCCACACGTCGGCGCTGCCGTGCACTTTGGCAGAGACCGACATGCTCAAAGACTGGCCCACCATCTCTTCTACATGTGAATGCAGGGCTGGCACTGCCTTTTTGGTGAAGAAATGCGGCTTGGCACTCTCCACCGCGGCTCGGCACAAGCCATCATTTCTCGGAAAGGTGCTGAGTCCACCACTTGGAAAGGGAGGGACTGCAGCACCAGCAACTTGGACAGGAGGACGTTCAGCTTCTGCACCGTCGGGTGCGTGCTCGCAAACTGTTGTCTCTTGGAAACGGATTCCAAGAAAGACTGCTGACGGAATCCGTGAAGAGGAGTAGCAGGAGAAGGAGCATCTGAACGAGCGGAAGATGCCAACGAGCGACAACTCCCCTCAGCAGAGGTGTTGGAGCCTTGACTGGCTGATAGAGGGCGATTGACGTCGGGTGACGGAGCAAGTAACGGAGCGGGTGATGGAGCGGGGGCTGGGGCAGGCAGAACCGCCGTATCTTTATCACGGTTTTCCCAGGCCACCGAATGGCGACGCTGCATATGGTGACGCAACGCTGTAGTCCCAACATGGGCCCCCTGGCCACGCTTGACTTTCTGGCCACATAGTCAACATACGGCTACGTTTACTTCCTCGGGCGGCTTGACGAAAAATTGCCACACCCGCCGAGTAGGAAACTTTGCCCCCGCTACTCCTCACTGGCTGACTGCTACTTCCTCCGTGCACACCGGCACCACTACTGGCCGTGGTGGTAGGCTGCAGTGGAGCTGGTGCTCTACTCCGTGGCCGTTTGCCTCCACTGACACTGCTGCGACCCTGCTGCCTCCTGGGCAACCCACCGACTGTTTTGCTCGCTGCCAAGCTGGCACCCTCTTCTCCTGATGATGCGGAAGAAATAGCCTGATGACTGTCTTGGAAATTCGCTTTAACAAATTTCTCCTTACCGTGAGTACTCGCAGTTGGATGCGCAGAAATCCCCCATAAAGCTGTGCGAATCTCGCTTACCACGACTGCAGCAGCTAAACTACACGATTCCTGCCCATCCAAATACTTTGGTTCTGTTGAAATGTGGGTGATGGAGCTCCGTTACCCTAGAATGATCACACGACACTCTAAGGCTGGTGTTGCAATTCACATAAGGGCCGGCTTCAGACTCAGCTCTCTGTTTTATTAAAAATACACACATGCCCCCCACATGAATAAAGTCAATCCCCTCCCACCGAAACAATGCAATGGGGATTGCCTATACACAGGATGTACATTCCAATTGGAGCATAGCCTTTCCTATTATCTATCACTGGTCCTCCCCCATGAGTCTTCTGAGGTCAGCAGACTTCCTCCCCTTCCCCCCCATGAGCCATCTGAGGTCATATTTCCTGTCCTACTAGCTTCTATTGGTATGTAAATTCTCTGCACAAGCATCTCCTAAAAATATCAGTCTGTACCTGGATGGGCCTGATACGATCTTTATTAAAACACATCCATCCAAGATACAGTTCAGATTAGTAATGGGTTGTAAGATATGCATAAGCCTACACGTGGAGTTCACACCGCTTGCGCCTTGCGTTATGAAGCCCACGTGGTACTATGCTGCTGATATGTGGATACAGGCCCACGGTCTACTGACAGCAGCATTCGCATCGAATGCTGTGGTGGTATACACGCCGGTCTATAAGCGCAGATCTGCCATCTCATCCATTACCAAGCTGAGTACTGTAATACATACATACATTGTACATGTGCATGGCCCAATTGCAGCCTTCAGAGCTTTAATTAAGCCACACGAGAGACATATGAATAACACTCATATATGACACATTTAAAGTTCGACCAACAATACAAAATTTCCATGACATTCCCTCCTGTTTTATCATATTCTCCTCGTGTCCCTTCTTGATCTTCTTCAGCTTGATGGGTGTAGTCTCAAACTTCAAAGAGTTCCTGTAGTTGTCCCTGAGAATAAAGCTCCACGGGGTACCTGAAACAACAAGACCCGACGCAGACTCGACGCAAACAGGCTTGATTGAAGCGATGATCCTCAACAGCGTTGGAACCTTCACTACAGGAAGGCTCTTGCAAAAACCACAAACAGACTTGTGGTATGAATAAAGCTTGTGATCCTACGGTGGTCTGGGGAGATCCAGCAATAGATTCTCAAATTGCCCCTGCAGACGGGGCACACACAGGCTGGTCTCGACCCAGACAGTTTTCCAAATCGCAGACACAAACCATGATGAGGCTTGAAGCTTGCTTGAAGGTCTTGGAGAATGTGGTCTTCAGAGAGATAAATTAGAGGGAAGCCAGGACGTAATCTGTAGAGAAGGTGGATGGTTGGTGAGGTCTTCCTCCGATCAGTGGTTGGAGTGGGATCCCAGGAGCGGGCATGGAGATGTGGTCGTCTGCCCGAGCTTGGCTTACACGGTCGATGAGGCAACAGGAACATCTCACCGCGGCATATAAAAGGCAGATGAAAAAGAGAAGCATCAGGATATACACTCCCACTTCCTTCAACCAAGATCCGATGGAGAACAGGAAATCTCCCAATCCTCCCAAACCCTTGAACGGATTCCAACCCTCACTAGCTATAGCTCTAGCTTTTCCCTGTAGTTCACTAACTTTGTCCATATGGGCCTGGACCTTGTCATCGGTGTCTTCTATCCAAGTACAACAATCCTCTCCGATGAACTCACAGAACCCCCCTTTGGTGGCTAAAAGATAATCAAGGGCCATCTTCTCCTGAAGCACTAAAATTCCCATCTGCCGTTGTTCTTGGCAATTTCTCTGACAGCCTCTACGGTCTCGTTAAACATACTATCCACGATGACAGAAAAATTGTTCAGGCGCTTCATAAGTTCTATTCCCCATCCTGTCCATGAGGGGAACCAAGCCCATGCCTGGTCGCCCTCAGAGAACAGTTCCCTGCGAACTCTCCCTGCCATCGTTACCATCTTGTGGACCATCAACTCTTCATGATCCATCACTACATAGGATGCGGGGACTAGCTTTATGAGGGCACACGAACCTTTCGCGTTCTGGGGAAATGTTCTATAGGCTGCCGAACCACACAGAAAATAGTATGGACCTGTCAGAGCAGAACAGGAGGAGTTCCTCGTTCGGCCTCTGGCACTGAGCAACAGTTGCACAGACTGGGGGATTGCTCCCTCAGTCTGCACATCACATCCGTCCTTCCAACACACGTGGTCTGGTCGGTCAGTGTGTGGTTACTCAGAAGGGAAGTCTGGTTAGTCAGATTGACAGTTATACCTCCCTCGCAGGTGGTAGTCCCAACAAACTTGTTACCTGTGCCAAAGCTGATGTTAAAGCACACCTGAGGGCTGCCTAGCTGCCCAGTTACCCATAATGGACTGGTGAGGGCCCTACAGGAGCTAGAGCTAATATTGGTGCTGAAACTGATGTTACCTGCTAAAAATGTGTCATTAAGTTCTACCGACAAATGTCTACGTGGGGGCTGACCAGGGGTCCCTTGCTTTTTCATGCCGACGCGGATGTCATATAGGGCATGAACAGCGGCCATTGCGGACATGTGATGACTGGGTGGGGGCTTTGAGCATACCCAACAGTTGGTTTTGTTGGCGGTTCTGGCTAAACGCAGGTGCATTTTAAATAAAAGGTTGGGGTATCTGCCGTCTTTTCCTCCGTTCACACACATGTATGACATACAAACAAAAAGAAAAAGGAAAATGACACCCCTCATTCTCTGGTGTAGCTGAAAAGCTTCTTGCAGTGGCTTGCGTGCACCCAGTTGTCTCGTCCCTCGAGTTTGAGTGAGGTAGGTGTCGTCAGCTGGACTTGGTATGGTCCGGTGAACCGTGGCTCGAGTCCGGTTCTTTGATGTTTCTTTAGGACGACCCAATCACCTGGCTCAATAGAAAGAACACCTGTTATTGCATTTGGATCGGGGAGCGATTCGCGAACCCGATGGTGTATCTTCTGTAGCTCCCATTGCAGAGATTGCACATAACCTGTAAGCTGTGAATGCAAAGACGACAACTGTTGAGGAAAGTACAACCCTGTTTTGGGAGGTCCCCCAAACAACACCTCGTAGGGTGACAGCCCATGTGGTTGCCGAGGGGCATTCCGGATGGAATAGGGGGCAATGGGGAGACACTCAGGCCAAGGTTTTTGGGTATCGGAAGACGTTCAACCTTACCGCTATTCTCGGGGTGATATGGGGTGTGTCGCCGCTGACTCCAGTTCCACCAAAGAAATGCAGTCGTGTCCTTTGGAAGAGAGGTTAGTAGTGGACAAAGAAGACATGTTAGCAGAAGAGGTGTTAGTATTGTTAGTCGTGTTGCAAAATTCAGCACTGTCATTGCTGTCCTCCCCCCCCTTCTCATCTTCCGACACAGGAAGAAGAGAAGCTGGGTTAAGAATAGTGCATCGTTTGATAGTGAGGTTAGTAGGGGTTAGGAGGGCTTTTCCCCTGAGAGGGGTACCTTGCCTTGGATGTCCTGTTTTCGCAGGACCGTTCTTGCTGCACCGGTGTCAGTGAGGCAAGGGAGGGGATATTTTAATTCCTCTAGAAAAAGATGGATCTGGGCCGACACCGATTTGTCAACTTCCTATGAGAATTCATAGGAGTTACTTACCATGGTGGTCATAGGGGGCGGAGGACTCATCAGGAATGAACTGCCACCGACCTTTAGGTAATTGGGGGACAGCTCCTCCTCATGTGCCCTGTTTGGTGGCACTGGAAGCACCTGGGTGGGGGCCTATCCTTCCTGTGACCCAGATCCCTTGGTTTTTCGTGTGGGGTCTGGGACATAAGAACTTTGGCCTTGTCTTGTTTTCTTCTATCCATTTCCCTCTCTATTGCCGCAAGAGTGGAAAGGATAGCAGGGATAGACATCTCATTATATTCGGGTCGGGCCAGAACCAGCCTTTCCCGAATTTTAGTATCGATGCCTTCCAAAAATTTGGCCCGCAACAGAATGTGCGTCGCGGTCACCTTTACCCCTTCAGTTGGAGCATCAGGTCCAACTTCCAGATCCGCATCCAGTGCCGTCTGCTTGAGACGGCGCCAGAAGCAGGCGCTTTCCTCATTAGGACCCTGGGTGAGCTTCATCATGTCCGTAGTAGAGGTAGCACCATACATTTCTGGAAGCTTTGCCTTTAGCTGTGTACAGAACTCTTTGCCCCCTGAAGTCATCTCCTCCTCATGCGTGGTTATAGAGCACCCTGCAATCACTGTACTGGCCACTTCCATGCCCACCTTTGCCCGTAGGATCTGTGCACAATCTGACCCGCTCATACCATAGCTGAACTGGTTTTGTCCAAACATTCGAGCAAATCCTCTCGGATTGACTCGATAGTCCGGGAGCTCAGCCACAATAGTGCGGATCTCTGCCGGGGTGAAGGGGACATGCCAAACTACCCGTTCCCCTAAAGTCCGTTCCCCCCGTGCATTGGGAGGACCTTCAAATTGCTGCACCCTGACTGGATAGGCCTCGGTCCGGGAAGAGTGCAAGGGCTGGCCCAGCTTCATCGGTGGGCTTAGATTAACCACCTCGCTTACTGCACCTTCAGGTTTGAGGTCCCTCAGATCAGGGTATAGCTGGGGGGCAGGGGTCTGATCAGTGGTTCGTAGCGCTTTGATGCAATCTGCCCTGTTTCTTAACCGGGTGTCTATTCCCCTTGATTCACAGATAGTCTGCAAATCGGTTGTTGAGAAGGCTTCATAGTTGGGAAACAGAAGGAGCTGGGGTGAAGCAGGGAGAAGGGAGAGGTAGAGGCAGAGGCTGAGGCATAGATACAGAAGACACAGAAGGTACATCAAGAGTGACGTCACTAGCAGAAGAGACAGGTGCAGTTATACTTATCTCAGCCACTGTTGGTTGTTGGGGAACCCCAGCAGACCCTGATCCTGCCTGCCTTAGTAGAGTCAGCCCTGAAAGAGCTTCCTCCACCTCTGACACCGGATCCTCCTGTTTTATTCCCTCTGGAGGCCAGGTATACATCACCTGGTTCTTCCGGACAGACACCAGTTTATGTATGCCCTGCCTCCCTAATCGGATTGACCTGTGAAGCCATAGCTGTGCGATCTCTAGTTCTGACGCCTGCATCCGTGGTTCAAATTCAGAGATGAATTTTTCCCACCTCCATGCGTCAAATGTACCTTCCCGGGGAATTTCCCATCTGGTACCCTTCGACCATTTATTCCACCTTTTGAGGGGTTCTGTAGACTTCCCCCCCAAACTCACCTTCATCAGTTGTGCAGCTGTCCTTACCCTGAAGAGGGCTGGTTCCCCCTCTCTCTTCATGGACTGACTACTGCCCATCGTGACTAGTCACTGGTATATATCCCGCGTCCGGGTACCTGTTTACCCCCTGGAGCACTCGGTGGGATCCTACCGAGAGGCCTGATTCCACCACTTTCCCAGCACAGCGTAATTTATGTGATCCTGACGATCACCCGAAGTGCATCAAGTAACCAGAGAGCACACCTCCCACTCCCTGCAAGTACCTGACCACCCGAAGCCCACTTCCCTGCCGCCCACTCACACAGCGTAATTTATGTGGCTCTCATCACCCACTGTGTTTGGCAGGCCACACCGCACAATGATGAAAGTGGCTTTTCTCTCCCTGCACACAGTAGCTAACACAAGTCAAAACAAAAAGAGGGGTTCTTGGATGTTACTTAGGGGTCACTGGTTGGGCAGAAACCTACTAACTGACCTTTAGGAAATTTGTGTAAAGAAAAAAAAACTTTCCTAATACACACAGAAAAAACCCCTTTTCAACCTGAAAAAACTGTTTAAAAGGACAAAGTGGATCCTTATGAAAAACACGGGACGTTTCACAGTAAAACAATTACACAGAGGTAAACCGAAAAAACTGCGCCAAAAGTAACCTTGTTGCTGACGCAAAAATCACTCCTATCAGCACCGCTAAACGATCCACGTTACACACGCAATCTTCACTGCAACCACCTAAAAACCGTTTACACAAAAAGTCTGCTGGACGTGAAACACGCGACACAGCAGCTTAAAACAAACCCGCTTTACAATAAGGAACTACTTTTAACAGGAAAAACACAAGAAAAACATAATCACTATACAAGAAATCTATGTGCAAAAACCCAGACTTCACCGCGCTCACTAAATGTGGAACACGTGAAGGGAAAACTCGCTTAACACACTTTAAATTGGCTGGCAATATACGCAAATTTAAAGCTAAAAGCAAACAAATGAAACTGTAAAAAAATTGGATTAAAAACACAATATGGGTCAAATGCATATAGAAAGCTGTCATACACATTGCATAGAGATTACTGCACATATGGTAGTCAACAAAATGGCCACCAACAGGGGAAAGCACATGGTAGCCAACAAAATGGCCACCAAACAAAAGGAGTCCATGTGGTTAGTCAAGAAGATGACCCCCCACAGAGGAGCACATGGCAGATACTAGAATTACCCCCCACAGGGAAGCACATGGTAACACTAGAATGGCCCCCCACAGGGAAGCACACGGCAGACTCTAGCCTCAAAATTTGCCTCTAACCTTGTTATACATAAAACAGACTTTTAGACAGAACATACACTGGACAATTACACAACAATATGAAGCACACATACAACACAATTTGGGCACAATCACAGAACGGACATAAAACACCAACATATCACACTAACATGCACATGTAACAGAAAGGACCCCCTGCTGCATGCTTGCTGGGAGCAGTAGTACCACAAAACATTGTACAGACTACATACACACAGAGATCTTACAACAGTTAACAATTAACCTAAGCCTTTCAGCACTGTAATAATTACCTCACGTGGAGGGGGTAAAGCAATCACCACAGTACCTACAGCCCACAAATACTTACCTAACACTATGCAACAACTTTTACCCACTAAAACATATACCCGTTTAATTTTTGGTTGGAAGATTTTTAAACTTGACCAAATCCAGCCAACCAAACCCACCCCTCTGCTGCTCTCCGCAGAGACAAACCCTTGTCTTTCACCCACAAATCAAGAGTTTAGGACAAAAAAACGAGGTCCTTGTTAAGCGGTATTTCTTGTTAGCTAACAGAGAGCGAAATCAGCCACACGAACACGCAAAAAGCGATCCTCTTAATGGCAGAGAGACCTGAAATGTGCCGGCATACTTTTTGCTAGTTCATGATAGGCTCATTCCCCCCCCTCGTTCTTGGTTAGCTACGCAAGAATACGCGTTAGTATCCACCAGGCTCGCCAAACTGTCTTGGAAATTCGCTTTAACGAATTTCTCCTTACCGTGAGTACTCGCAGTTGGATGCGCAGAAATCCCCCATAAAGCTGTGCGAATCTCGCTTACCACGACTGCAGCTAAACTACACGATTCCTGCCCATCCAAATACTTTGGTTCTGTTGAAATGTGGTGATTGGAGCTCCGTTACCCTAGAATGATCACACGACACTCTAAGGCTGGTGTTGCAATTCACATAAGGGCCGGCTTTAGGCTCAGCTCTCTGTTTTTATTAAAAATACACACATGCCCCCAACATGAATAAAGTCAATCCCCTCCCCACCGAACAATGCAATGGGGATTGCCTATACACAGGATGTACATTCCAATTGGAGCATAGCCTTTCCTATTATCTATCACTGGTCCTCCCCCATGAGTCTTCTGAGGTCAGCAGACTTCCTCCCCTTCCCCCCCATGAGCCATCTGAGGTCATTTTCCTGTCCTACTAGCTTCTATTGGTATGTAAAATTCTCTGCACAAGCATCTCCCTAAAAATATCAGTCTGTACCTGGATGGGCCCGATACGATCTTTATTAAAAAAACACATCCATCCCAGAAGATACAGTTCAATTAGTAAAGGGTTGTAAGATATGCATAAGCCTACACGTGGAGTTCACACCGCTTGCGCCTTGCGTTATGAAGCCCATGTGGTACTCATGCTGCTGATATGTGGATACAGGCCCACGGTCTACTGACAGCAGCATTCGCGCCATCGAATGCTGTGTGGGGTATACACGCCGGTCTATAAGCGCAGATCTGCCATCTCATCCATTACCAAGCTGAGTACTGTAATACATACATTGTACATGTGCATGGCCCAATTGCAGCCTTCAGAGCTTTAATTAAGCCACACGAGAGACATATGAATAACACTCCATATATGACACATTTAAAGTTCGACCAACAATACAAAATTTCCATGACAAGACCGACGAGGTTGTCCTAAGTTGCGTTATCAGTGCCTCAGGTCACTACTTTACAATTTGGGTTGATCCGCATCGGCCTCGACTTCACTAAATTTCGGGTCCTGTTGCTTAGTTGGGCTTCAGAACAGATTGTCTCCCATACCCGCTGGGCCGTCTTCTTACTCTCCTTTGTTCTTTCTAAGAGGTTTCTACTCAACCCTGGAAGTTGTCGGATGATTCTCCCCTGTCCTGACCGCCCTCTTTAGCTTCTTCCTCACTGTACAGGTTTTCATTTCACCACGCATTAGATCCTACGCTTGGTAGGGAACACCAAAGACCAAGGGGGGAGACCTTGACACGATGTCAATGTCATGTTCAGTGGGCAACCACCCGTTGCCCTGCCAACTAACGGTTGGTACTCATGACGTTACCCACCGTCGTTGGCTCAATTCTTCAGAGGTCCATGACCTGTATGGAAGTCTGGAAGACGACCGGTTGGCTCAACCAATCGATCTGGCAGGCCGGTGTTGTCGGTGGAGATACACGATTAACGCTGGATGACACCGGATTGGAATGCACTGGCCTCTGGGAACTCCTCGACTAGTGCTGCCTCGACCCCTTCCTCTGCCTGCCTCACTGCTCCTCCTAAAAGGAGCCAAACCTCTGATAGATTCCTCTGGGGTTTGGTTATGTCTGACAATACTCTTTAATTGAATGTTCCTGCTGTACCTACAGTAACCTTCTGTCCCTCCACCGTAACAATTCTGTGTCCCTCAGTAACAATTCTGAGATGTCCCTTTTTACAGTAACAATTCTGTGTGACTGTCCCTGGGGTAACAATTCCTGTATCCCTCAGTTCTTAATTCATGTTTCAAACAATTCTGGGTCCCTCAGGAGTAACAATTCTGTGTCTGGTCATTGTTCAATTCTGTGTGTAGTAACAATTGTGTGTCCCTAACAGTAACAAGTTCTGTGATCTGTCCCCAAAGTAACAATCTCCTGTTGTAGATTGCTGAGTTTCTGTGGCAGCTCGCGTAAATTTCTGTGTCCCCATCAGTAACAGTGATTGTACTGGGTGCCTCAGTAACTGATTTCCACGTGTCCCTCATTAACAATTCTGGTTGGTGTCCCTCAGTAAATGACTAATTGTCTTGGTACCTTGTATAAGTAACAATTCTGTGTTCAGTAACAATTCTGTGTTCAGTAGATTGCACTGATCTGTGTCTGTCCCTCTATACAATTCTGTGTAATAAATGACTAAAAAGTTAGTCCTGTGTCCCTGTGACCTAACAATTTTCTGTGTCTTCCCTGAGTAACATTTGTGTGTCCCGGGGGGATATAACCTTTGGTTCCTCAGTAACAATTAGTGTCTGAGCCTGTGCTATTTTTGCTTAGTTCCCACTGTGGTCAAACCAGTAACAGTTTGGACCCCTGAGTAAACCAATTCTGTGTCCCCTCATAAAGAATTATCTGTGTGTCCCTGAGTAACAATTCTGTGTCCCTCGTCCCAGACAATTCTGGTCCCTCAGTAACAATTATCGTGTCCCTGAGTAACAATTCCTGTGTCCTCTCAGTATAAGAATTCCCCTGAAAGTTGAGACAATGTTGTCCCCATGAGTAACAATATCTGGTGTGTTGAGTACAACAGTGCTGTGTCCCCGCGAGTACAGATTCTGTGTCCCTGAGTAACAGTTCTGTGTGGGGGTGATTGACAATTCTGTGTCTGTCTAGTAAACCAATGTCTGGGCAATCCCTGAGTAACAATGTGGGTGTCCCTCAACAACAATTCAGTGTCCCTCGTAACACTTCTGTGTCTAGTCCCTGAGTAACAATTCTGATCACTGTCAGGGTAAGTAATTCTGTGTCCCTGAGATAACAATTCTGGTCCCTTGTTAGTAACAATTGGGTGTCCTGTCTGGGGGAGTAACCATCTGTGTGGGTTTTGGGGTCCTGGGGCGTCCCTGAGTGGGGGGGGGGGTGGAGGGTGAGGGGGAGGGGGTGAGTAAAAGGGGGGGTTCATTTAGGGTAGAATTTTCGGGTCCCTGGGGGCAGGGGGGGATGGGGGTAAGGTCAGGTGGGGGGGTGTGGGTAACAATTCTGGGGGCCTAGGGGGGGGTGAAAGGTAGTGGGGGGTGGGGATGTTAAAGCGTAAATATTCTTTGGATATTCTGGTTCCAGGGGGTGAGCTGAATTAGTGGTAAGGATATGATTGCAACAGGGGGCTTCCCCCATGTGGCCCGTGGGGATTGGTGTGAGTGGGGGCAAGGGGAAGGGAGGGGGGGGAGGGATTGGGGGGGGGGGGGGGGGGGGGGGGGGGGGGGGGTGGGGGGGGGGGGGGGGGGGGGGGTAGGGGGGGGGGGGGTAGTGGGGGTGGGGGGGGGGGGGGGGGGGGGGGGGGGGGGGGGGGGGGGGGGGGGGGGGGGGGGGGGGGGGGGGGGGGGGGGGGGGGGGGGGGGGGGGGGGGGGGGGGGGGGGGGGGGGGGGGGGGGGGGGGGGGGGGGGGGGGGGGGGGGGGGGGGGGGGGGGGGGGGGGGGGGGGGGGGGGGGGGGGGGGGGGGGGGGGGGGGGGGGGGGGGGGGGGGGGGGGGGGGGGGGGGGGGGGGGGGGGGGGGGGGGGTGGGGGGGGGGGGGGGGGGGGGGGGGGGGGGGGGGGGGGGGGGGGGGGGGGGGGGGGGGGGGGGTGGGGGGGGGGGGGGGGGGGGGGGGGGGGGGGGGGGGGGGGGGGGGGGGGGGGGGGGGGGGGGGGGGGGGGGGGGGGGGGGGGGGGGGGTGGGGGGGGGGGGGGTGGGGGGGGGGGGGGGGGGGGGGGGGGGGGGGGGGGGGGGGGGGGGGGGGGGGGGGGGGGGGGGGGGGGGGGGGGGGGGGGGGGGGGGGGGGGGGGGGGGGGGGGGGGGGGGGGGGGGGGGGGGGGGGGGGGGGGGGGGGGGGGGGGGGGGGGGGGGGGGGGGGGGGGGGGGGGGGGGGGGGGGGGGGGGGGGGGGGGGGGGGGGGGGGGGGGGGGGGGGGGGGGGGGGGGGGGGGGGGGGGGGGGGGGGGGGGGGGGGGGGGGGGGGGGGGGGGGGGGGGGGGGGGGGGGGGGGGGGGGGGGGGGGGGGGGGGGGGGGGGGGGGGGGGGGGGGGGGGGGGGGGGGGGGGGTGGGGGGGGGTGGGGGGGGGGGGGGGGGGGGGGGGGGGGGGGGGGGGGGGGGGGGGGGGGGGGGGGGGGGGGGGGGGGGGGGGGGGGGGGGGGGGGGGGGGGGGGGGGGGGGGGGGGGGGGGGGGGGGGGGGGGGGGGGGGGGGGGGGGGGGGGGGGGGGGGGGGGGGGGGGGGGGGGGGGGGGGGGGGGGGGGGGGGGGGGGGGGGGGGGGGGGGGGGGGGGGGGGGGGGGGGGGGGGGGGGGGGGGGGGGGGGGGGGGGGGGGGGGGGGGGGGGGGGGGGGGGGGGGGGGGGGGGGGGGGGGGGGGGGGGGGGGGGGGGGGGGGGGGGGGGGGGGGGGGGGGGGGGGGGGGGGGGGGGGGGGGGGGGGGGGGGGGGGGGGGGGGGGGGGGGGGGGGGGGGGGGGGGGGGGGGGGGGGGGGGGGGGGGGGGGGGGGGGGGGGGGGGGGGGGGGGGGGGGGGGGGGGGGGGTAGGGGGGGGTGGGGGGGGGGGGGGGGGGGGGGGGGGGGGGGGGGGGGGGGGGGGGGGGGGGGGGGGGGGGGGGGGGGGGGGGGGGGGGGGGGGGGGGGGGGGGGGGGGGGGTGGGGGGGGGGGGGGGGGGGGGGGGGGGGGGGGGGGGGGGGGGGGGGGGGGGGGGGGGGGGGGGGGGGGGGGGGGGGGGGGGGGGGGGGGGGGGGGGGGGGGGGGGGGGGGGAGGGGGGGGGGGGGGTTTGGGGTGAGGTGTTGTTGATGGGTGGTTAAGGGGGAGGATTGGAACTGAAGGGTTAGAAGGGCCCGGGGGGGGTAGTGAAAAACACATAATGGATGGGGGGGGCTGGTTCAAGAGGGGGGCGGGTGGGGGGGGGGCGGAACAGGTGGTGGTGGGGGGGGGGGGGGGTTGGGTTGGAGGGTGGGGTGGATGGGGGGTTATTAAAAAAGGCGGGGGGACCAATATGTGGGGGGGGGGGGTGGCTTGTGGGGGGGGGGGTGGGGGTTGGGATTGGAGAGGGGGGAGTGTAAATGGTGGGGGGGGGGTTGGGGGGGGGGGGGGGCAATGGGGGGGTGAAGGAGATGGGGTTGTGTAAAAGGGGGTCAGGGGGGTGACATTTTATTTGATGGGGGTAGGGGATGCCCAGGGAATGGAATTGAGTTTTACTAGACATGGGGAGAGGGGTATTTATGTTTGGGACGGGGCGAGGGGGGGTGTTTGTTGGCGATGGGGAAATTGGTTAGGAAAAGGGAGGGTGGGTGGGGGGAAAAAGTGAATTTTGGTGAGGGGGACAGAAGTGGTGTATGAAAATGGGTGATGTGGAACAACAGGTGGGGGGGTTACTGGAGGGGGAACAGGAGGGGTGGAGTTTAATTAACAGTTGGGGGGGGGGGGGGTACTTGGGGGGGTTTGAGGGGGGGGGGCTGGGGTGGTGGGGGGTGGGGGCAGGGGGGGGTGTTGGCAGGGTGGGGCAGGTGGGGGGGGGGAGGGGGGGGGTTAAAGGGGCGGGGGGGTGGGGGGGGGGGTGTGGGGGGGGTTGGGGTGGAATACATGGGGGGAATAAAAAATGGGGTGGGGGGGGGGGGGGGGGGGGGGTGTGGGGGGGGTTGTGTCGGGGTTGTGGGGGGGGGGGGGGGAGAATGGGGTGGGTGGTGTGGGTGGGTGTGGGGGGGGGGTTGGGGGGAATTGTAGTGGGGGGGGGGGGATAAAGAGGGGGAAGTTACTGGAGGGACACAGAAATTGTTACTCAAGATGGACAGACACAGAATTGGTTACTAAGGGACAACAGAATATTGTTTAAGATTCTAGGGATACCAGAATTGTGGTACTCAGGACAGACACAGAATTGTTACTCCAGGAAGAAATGGTATACTGAGAGGACACAGAATTGTTACTCAGGATGACAAAGAATTTGAGGACGAGGGGACAGACACAAATTGTTACTGAGGAGACACAGAAGGTTGTCAAAAGAAGACTTTCAGAAGAAACAGGAATGTGTTTAAGGAAGGAGGAAGACAAACTGAAGTAAAGATAGGGAAAAAAATGAAAGGAAGAGGAGGATAAGAATGAAAAAAGAAGAGATGAGAAAGAAGAATGAAAAGTAAGAAATGAGAAAAAGTGTGATAATATGATGAGATGCATAGAAGAATGAGAATGAGTAAGAATTGAAAGAGAGAATGAAAAAGAAGGTGAATGGAGATAAGAAGAAGAAAGAATAAGAGAAGAAGAAGAAAAAAAAAAAAAAGGGGGGGGGGAAAAAAAAATTTTTAAAAATTTTTTTTTTGGGGGGGGGCCCAAAAAGGGGCCCCCCCCAAAAAAGGGGAAAAAAGGGTTAAAAAAGGGGGGGGGGGGGGGGGGGGAAAAAATTTTTTTTTTAAAAAATTTAAAAAAAGGGGGGGGGGGGGGGGGAAAAAAAAGGGGGCCAAAATTTTTGGGGGGGGGGGGGGGGAAGGGTTTTTTTTTCCCCCCCCCCCAAAAAGGGGGGGGGGGGAAAGGGGGGAAAAAGGGGGGGGGAAAGGGGGGGGGGCCCCCAAAAAAAATTTTTTTTAAAAAGGGGGGCCCCCAAAATTTTTGGGGGGAAAAATTTTTCCCCCCCCCAAAAATTTTCGGAAAAATTTTTAAAGGGGGTTTTTTTGGGGGAAAAAAATTTTTTAAAAACCCTTTTTTTGGGGGGGGAAAAAATTTTTTTTTTCCAAAAAATTTTTTTTTTTTTTTGGGGGGGGGGGGAACACTTTTTTGGGGGTTTTTTAAAAAAAGGGGGGCCCCTTTTTTGGGGTTTTTAAACCGGGGCCCAAAAAAGGGGAATTTTTGGGGGGGGTTTTTTAAAAAATTTTTAAAAAAAAAAAGGGGAAAAATTTTTCCCCCTTTCCCGTTTCCCCCTTTTTTTTCCCCAAACCCCAAAATTTGGGAACGGGGCCCAAAAATTAAGGACAAAAAATTTTTCCAAACAAAAAAATTTCCGGCCCCCCTTTTTTTAAACCCTTTTTTTAAAAAAATTTTTTTTTGGGGGGTTTTTTTCCAAAGGGCCTTTTTTTCCCCCGGAAAAAAAACCCCCCGGGGGAAAATTTTGGGGGGCCCAAAAACCCCAAAAAAAATTTTTAAAAAACCCCAAAAGGGGAAAAACCCAAAGGGCCCCCCCCCCCCAAAAAAAACCCAAAATTTTTTTCCCTTTTTTTTGGGGGGGGGGGAAAAAAAAAAAAAGGGGGCCCCAAATTTTCCCCCCCCTTTTTAAAAAACCAGACAAAAAAGGGGGGGGGGTTTTTAAAAAAAAAAAAAAAAAAAGGGGGAAAACCAAAAAAATTTTGGGGGGGAAAAAAAGGGGGGGCCCCCCGGGGGGGGGGGAAAAAGGGGGGGGGGCCCGGGTTTTCCGGGGGCCCCCTTTTAACGGGGGGGGGGTTTTTCCCCCAATTAAAAAAAAAAAAAAAATTTTTTCCCCCCTTTTTTAAAAAAAAAAAAAACCCCCCCCCCCTTTTTTAAAAAAATTTTTTCCCCAAAGGGGGGAAAAATTTTTTGGGGGTTTTAAAGGGGGCCCCTTTTCCGGGGAAAAAGGGTACCCCCCCCTTTTTTGGAAAAAAATTTTGGGGAAAAATTTTTTTGGGGCCCCCCCCAAAAAAACCCCAAAAACCCTTTTTGGGGGCCCCCAAAAAAGGGGGCCCCCCGGGGAAAAAAACCCCCCAAAAAAAAAAAAAATTTTAACCCCCCTTTTCCCCCGGGGGAAGGGGGGCCCCCCCGGGGCCCCGGGGGGGGGGCCCCCCCCTTTTTTTTCCCACCCCCTTTCCCCCAAAAAAGGGGGGGGGGGCCCCCAAAAAGGGAAAGGGGGGAACCCCTTTCCTTTTCCCAACCCCCCGGGGGCCCCCCCCCAAAAAAAAATTTCCCCCCCCCCGGGGGGGGCCCCCGGGGGTAGGGGGGGGGAAAAACCCCCCCCCCCCCCCCCAAAAACCCCCCCCCCGGGGGGGGCCCCCCCCTTTTTCCCCCGGGGGGGGGGGGGGGGGGGGTTTTTTAAAAAGGGGGCACCCCCCCCCTTTTTTTAAAATTTTTAAAGGGCCCCCCAAAAGGGGGGTTTTTTAAAAATTTTGGGGGGGGAAAAAGGGGGTTTTGGAAAAAAAGGGTTTTTAAAAAATTTTTTTTCCCCGGGGGGAAAAAACCCCCCCGGGGGGGGGGGGCCCCCTTTTTCCCAAGCGGTGTAAAAGGGGGGGGGAAAACGGGGCCCCCCCGGGGGGAAAAAGGGGGGGC